ATCTAACACGCGTCATTATCATTCATTTTGTATTATCAATGTCATCCATCACGCGTCATCATACATTATCATCATCCATCATGCATCATTAATACCACGTGTCATAATGACCATCCATTATATATCATCATTATCATTATCACTCTTTTAGTACAATTTTCTCAGTTTTAGGTAACATTCTTGTTTGGTTCATTTGTCCTAAGCCATCTGCGCCTTGATTTTCACTTCTTATCATCGCACATTAGTATCTCGTATTGATAATTTATTCTTCATCAAAAGTATCCTTCAAATATAGGTCACATTTCAATAAGACAACTAATCGTACAATTTCTATGCAATACCATTAATATGTTTTATCAGTTAAAAAAAGCGGAGCTTTCTGAATTACCTTCTAGAAACAACGAATACGTCACATTGGAAATCAGTCATTCCACGTACGTCGTCATTGTTACTGCTAGAAATTGCTTATTCAAGTGGAAAGTATTTGTGATTTAAATCTCTCTTCTTTCCTATTATTTATTCCATAGGTCCTTTTTCATTTTGTTGAAATTATTGGTATGAAAGAGTTGGAAAGTATGCAAAGAAACTTCACCAATTTTACGAAAATATTACAAATGGACAGAAGTGGACAAGCCAAGAGTTACCCTTTGATTTCAATTATATGGACTTTTCATCTATCATTTGTGGCTTAAGAAGATTGAGAAATTTGCTAAAAATTTTCATTAACTTCAGACATCAACAGCTAACCGGATGAAGTTAACCGGATGAAGTGAAGTAGAACTGAACGCTACGGAATGGAATGAATTGTATTTGTTTTTCCGGAATAAACATCTTTTTTACAGAACAGAAAGGAAAAAGAAAGGAAAATAGTCTGAGTAATCAATTCAAGAACACAATCACATGGATAAATTGCAGTTTGCATAAACTGCATGCAATCACTCTTCCATCAGCAAATTTTTCCTTGTCTTTGATATTATTACAGGTATGTAGCATAATGTTAAAGCATAAATTGAGGCGCTATTTGTACATATGATGTGCGCATTAGGCATGATAAAATATATGCTAACGGAGAGGAGAATTAGAATTTTCGCAGAAATATAATAAAATTTAGTTTTAAAAAATTTAAAAGTAAGTGAAAATTGGCAAATAATTCAACAAAACTGTTCAGATATGATTACATGAATGTTTTAGACAGTCTCTTTTTAATAAGCTAATTAGGGATTAATTTTATAATTAAAGATGGATAGATTCATTCTTCTCAACCCCGAGACTTACCAGATTAGTATTACTATTTGTAATAACTTTATTTGCTAATTTATTTCTACCAAAATATCTGTTAAATTTTCATTTATTAAATAAAAAATTTTATCGATAACAATTTGCGCCTTATCATCAGCTCAAATCCATTGTGATGCATCTTTCATTTATTTCATTAAAATTTCTTCATTCATTCGTAAAATTGCAATCAATCATTCAACTCCGTGTGATAGATTTTATCTTTTTTTTTTTATTCTAATAACTGATAATTATACATTATCTGGAAAATTTGTTGTAAAGAATCTTCCGGATGACTATCTTCCGGATGTTATCAATGTCCGGAACTGTTTGGAAAAATTATAAAGTGTTTCGGTCATATTATATTTTAAATAATAATGTGTCAGAAACAGGATTTTGATATGTTATTTAATAATTTACGTATTGCGATAATTTATATTTATTTGAATAGATTGCTAAAACTATGATAAGTAGTGAGGATGAACATGTTTCCCAGTATGATACGGTAAGTGGACACATTTCAAGTTTTGTCTTTTGAGCATTTTGTATTTTAAAACCAAATTAAATGTATAAAATAGATAATATAGTAAATGATAATAGGAAAAGGAAACCTGAAAGATAAAAGAGATAATAAAAATGATGAAGAAATCACAACAAAAAGGATAGGATACGAAAGAAAGGTAAGATGATTAGATAAACCTGTTTGATGTTTTCGTTAATTTAGCTAATTTGATTGTCAGAAAAAAAAAAAGAGAAGAAAGGATGCAAAACCGGTTCCGAAATGCATTAAGCAATAAATCGGAAAAGTTGAAATTTCCCTCAGTACAATACTTCTTTCATAATTTGAAATGTCATTAAAATTGACGATATTTATCCGATTTAAATTGTTGTAATCCGTTTCATACAAATTATTATTTCTTCGTCGTCACTTTATTCCTATCTCTTTTTGCTATTATCAGTAGAATTTTTAAACTTTAAATGTCTTAATTAGCCTCTGTCTTAATTATTTCTTGGTCATACTGTAACAAAATATCGATTTATCCATTCATTAATTGAAATTATTGGAACATTTTGCATACTACTTTTTTTTTCTCGAAGTATTTACGACATATTTTATGGGATTTTTAAAATTTCATGCTTTATTACCTTTTATAATGAAAATGTTGAACTTTTAAAGAAATATTGGAGAGTTTAGTGATCAATTCTTGCATTAACAATGAATGCTTCCCATGCAATCTACTCAGTTAATTAGCTTATTTGTTAATTAAGTCATAAAATCAGAAAGAAATGAATTCTATCAATATTATACGTTTCTGTAACTGAAGCAATGATATTCAAGCTGTATAGTTTTTAGTTTGGAAACTTTGAAATTTAGGAAATGATAAGATCCGAAAAAATTTACACCGTAAATATAGCAACGGATATATAAGTGTCACCATAAATTTGTTTATCAATTACTATCAATTCTTTATCACCGCCAAATTATAGTTAGAAATTTTGTCTATGTGTGAAATTCCAATGCTTTTTTCGATGGAATGGTAGCATAAAATGATAGTGATAGCATTTGGTTGATATAATCATAGAATAGAAGTGATAGTACTGATATATCACTAGAAAATGATAATACTAAAGAAAAATGAGAACGAATGATTGATGTTGCAGTAAATAAGAATTGTACTAAATCAGCAAAAATTAAATTCTACTCTCGGACGAATTGAAACGATAAGAGTTTTGCAAGTAGAAAATAAAGCCTTAACATTTTCAGATATATATTTTAATTTAAATTCAGGATAACAGTTTCAGGTATTCATCTCAATTTAAGCCCAGGATAATATTTTCCGTATATCTACCTTAATTTGTACTCAAATTAAATTTCCGGATATCTATTCTAATTTAAATTCGTGACTTGTTTTTGCCAGCATGGATGGAATTACACAAAAGTATTAAACAGTAGACATTATCTTGTATAAACTAATTTATAAAGTAATACACTTGTTTTAAAATTTTTTAGCAAAATTATTGCGAACTGTTCAATCATTTCTGTTGACAAAGTTTTGCATAATGACAAAATATTTATTATTTCATATAGCAAATTAAATTTTATCATTCAATTTATTCGCTTAAAATTTACAACTTTTAAGAAGCTTTGTTTACTGCAATCTTTACTTTTTGAAAGTCACAAAGAGAGCAATTTTAGAAAATTGTAAAGATTTTTTACAACTAACAAAATTATTTTCTTATTATTGCAAACCAATTCTGTTTATTTTTAATTTCAATTTAATTCTTCAACTCTTTAATTCTTCATTTCAATCCATAATTCAGTTCAACAAAACAGCAGTAAGTTTAATTTGACTTATTTGATTCGAATTGTCAATAGTGCTTTTGAAATTTTTTTTTTTTTTGAAAAAACCATTTTTCTCATTGGGCGGTATTGGTATGCGCACATTTGAAAAACAAGCTTTTTGGTAATGAAACAGGTAATGCAATCTTATTTCTTATATGTTAGCTGATGCATAAACTCTGACAATTGATTCGAGTTTTTCGAAGGATTGTCACAGTGATAAATGAAATTTCCATTATCAATTATTGCTATAAATATCGAAGAGGGACATTCATTTCTTCAAATTGTTTGATTATCGCATACTGATAATGAAGTAATTCATTTATTAATTTTTATAAATCAATTTAGCTAGTTTTTAATTTTTTTCAAATTTCTCATAGAATTGAATTTTTTCGAATAAAAAAGAGAAGCTAATTTTAATTGCAATGCAATTGATCTAATTACCTTGTCTTTCATCATCGTCACTTTTCTATTGCATAATATGTTTGATGCTCATCTCGAAATTTAACTGTTAAATTAAATTTCCTTGCTGATTTGTGGTTTGTTAAGGTTGAAGTTTATGAATTTTTTAAGGAAACGATAAAAATTCCGCCTAGTGATTCCTACGATAATTGTAAGCATTAAAAATTTTTGCTTATTCATCTATCCTTTCTAATACTCATACCATTTATTAATAAAATTTTTTAGGAAAATTTCTTTTTTCAGATTTAAATTTATCAGTTTAATGTTTAATAACGTCCTAACACTTATTAACAATACCTGTTGAAAGTTTATGTTATCGGTGAAGAACTGAAAGAAGTGAAAAAGAAGTCAATCATAAAATTGAAATCTCGATTCGCTTCGTTTCTCTGAAAATTCCCCCATAAAATCATTCATCTTAAATGTAATTTTTAGATGCTTGAAATAATAATTCTGTGTGTGATATTAGTACTGACTGTAAAAGGTCAAGAATCATCTGCCGGAGAACCTCAAAATCCTCGAAATTTAGAGCCAATTCCAAGTTTATTCAGTTTGAATACATGCCAGTATTTAAGAAATATGTCCGGTAAAGTTTGATAATTTATCGCATTTTAATTTAAACAAAAAAAACTTTCGTTTTCATTCAGCATGAAATAACGATGCGAAAATTGAAAAAAAAAAATTAAATTTATTTGCTAATTAGCGTTCGAACAAAAAAGAAAAAAAGAGCTGAAATTCTGGAAAAGTGAAAAGAATTGAATGAAGAAGAGGAATAAATTTTTTAAACCAATTCGCCTAATATTTTATTGTAAAATTTGAAAAAAAAATAAGATTAAATCATGCTCCGACAAAATTCTTTGACATCATTATTGTTGTCACTTAATTACTTGAATACTGAAAGAATTCATTTTCACTCATTTCAGATATGGAAACACTAAATCGACATCAGTTTGAAATACTCGAGCAATGTTTGTATTATTATTTAGCAGCGGAAGCTCAACGAAAAGCGCAATATTTCAATCCAATTCAAGCACTTGCAGCTTTCCCACCTGAAACCGGTAATATGAAAGGATCTCGTGTTAAAGTATTTTTTCATCAAATAACACTACAGCATTTTATCATGGTAAGCAAATCATATCAGCGTGCTATCAAGTTAATTAAGCAATTACTCAATTAAACTAGGTAATTAAACTAAACGAATTAAGTAAAAATTCAAAATGATAATTTCTTCTACTCGTTGTGATGGATGCAAATTCTATATTCCAAACATTTGCATTTTTCGGTGGGTTTGCAACTTGAAAGAATTGCAATTTTCATCCTGCAAAATTCGTAGATTAATTAGGCGCAAATTGTAGAAATATCAAATAATCTAGCAATACTTGAAGATCAAAAGATTAGCTGATGATCATTTCTTGCAGCAAGGATAAGTTCCAAAACAATTAGTTAAGCATATTTGTGCATCGAAACCGGTTTGTAATTTATATTTAGTCCACTGAAACCGGTTATACTTACAGAAGATATAGAAATTACTGATTCATATAAATCAAACATGAGAAAAATGTAAAAATTATTCAGTAATGTTTTTTAAGTGAATTTTTTCCAATGTATACTTAAATATCTAATTTTTGCAATGCTAAAAAAAAAAATTGGTCAAATCTGATTTAGACATTTCAAGTAATAATTTCAGAATGAATTCTTGAAAGAATTGAATATCAATGGTTATATCATTATTTTTTGGGATGATAATCGGCTTAGCTGGAATGAAGAGAAATGGAAAATAAAAAAACTGGAAATCAATTCCGTTAGTCATGTCTGGGTACCAATACTCACTGCTCAAACGTAATGAAATTAATTAAAATTCTATGAACTTTTGAAATAACAAATAATTCATTTAAAAAAATATATATATATCTAAAATAATTGATTGCTTGAAATATAAACTAATTGATTATAAATTTTTACTGAAATTCGATCATTTGAAGTTGTCGGAAGTTTTCCCACCTAAAAATTAAATTTAAAATTTCTAGAATTTAACATTTTCTTTAGGTTTGATACAGCAGTACGTAATGGTGATCTAATGGAGATACGACGTGTATCCATAAATAATAACGGTACCATTCGTGCTATTATTAATTTTTCGCTTCGAACATTCTGTGATGATTCTGATTTCAAGAATTTTCCCAATGATATGTACAAATGTTGCTATCAGATCGAACCACATGTTAATCAGGTTCAGTTTAAGAGAAAAAAAAAATCAAATTAAAATAATTGCAATCAGTGTTAACAATTTAATAATGGGACTTCAATCAACTGAATTTTAAATTTAAATTTTATTTGTAATATTAAATTAAAAGAAAAATATAATCAATCAAATATCCATTTAATGGGAAAAATTCTTTTTACAAATGCTGTAATAAAGGAAATTTTAGGAAATGAAAATTTTAAAGTTTAAACCCATATTTATATCCAATAAAGTGTGCATTTCAGGGTGGAATAGACTTTGCCACCTCAGGTCGACCAGTTTTCACAGATACGAAATATTTCCGTGATTATGGTTGGTATATTTCCGGTAGCATGCCAACTATTCAAATAATGCAAGATTCCCGAGTTCCACAGGTATAATTTTTCAAAATTTAGCTGCAAGTCTTGAAATTATTTCACAGAATTCCATTTGCGCAGTTTCAATTAATGAACGATATTTGCAAATATTTTAAAATAATAAAATGCTAACAAAATGTGGCACTAATTTAAAATTTAAATTAATGAATGAAATTTATTTTGGAGTAATTTCAGCTTGGTTTTTGCTTAAATTTAAAACGTTCAACAAAATCATTACATATCCAATTATCACTTCCTAATACAATTACAACAATGCTTTTCCTGTTGACACCTTTGCTGGGACAAATTCATTTGCAAATATTTGCAAAAATGTTCATACTTTTTCTTCAATTTTCAACACTTCAACTTTATTCCTTACTTATTTCACCATATTTTGGTTCCTCATCTGCAACGCCAAATATGTGTATGTGGTTTTAAGAATTTGTTAATTTTAAATTCAACTCAACATTTTTTTTTGTTTTTTAAAATTCGAAGAAATTTTGACGGAAATTCTCAACGAAAATTGAGTGAGATTTCCATTCAGCAATTGATTTTTGTATCAAAACGGTATAAAATGAATTTTGAAATTTTTTTTAGTGCGATTTTTGGAATTCGCGACAATAATCAATGTGATTAGTGTATCTGTTTCAATTACACTATGGATGTGTAGCAAAATTCGTCGGAATCTTCCACCATGGAATTGGTTGATAAGGTCTATTTGCATATTTTCAAATATTTCCAAATTCGATAGTAAAATTCATCGACTAATTTAAATGAAAATGAGCAATTGAAATTAGCCGCTGCAGCATAAAATATCAATGATCTAGTTTTTGTTGCAGATTTATTTGAAGTGTAATAGGGAAGGAAGGGATAGGAAGAAATAAATTGTTCATTTTACAATAAACAATTTCATTAAGTTTATTTGAAATTTCTAGGTCATCAGAATTTATCAACAGGTGTGTTTGCGTGTTTAATTCAACAGATAGTGGCATATCACTGAATGAAAATGATAAATCATCTACAACAAATAATTATCAACAAGACTGGACTAATGCATTCGTTGCTATGCATGGTGCAGCTGTATTTCTCTTATCACTTATCTTCATTCTTGGCTATTTGATGTTATCATAACGCATGCAGAATTTTCTCCACTTAACGCACTGGCAAATACAATCCCTAATCGAACCAAAAGGTCAGAGGGTCATTCTAAAGATAACATGCATGAATGAGAATATTTTTGCTTGTATGCAAATTTTTGTTCAAATGTTTTAGAAGAAAAGTTGCACACACATACATTTGGTGCAGTAATTGGTGTGTTAAACTAAAATGCAAAATTATCACTAAGTTGCAGTGATAATAATGGTAGTGAGAAAAGGAATTTGTTTTATTCTTTATTTTTTTAACTGATTAAATACGCTATTTAAAGAGGAAATAAGGTTAATGACGTTTTGAACCACTGATATGTTTAACCACCATTACTGATATGGGTCACCGATATGATTAACCCTTCAATCCTTAATCAACAAATTAAGCAAAGCTCTGTTAAAACTACTGAAATGATCATATATGGAAATCGTTCGAACAGTTCATTCAATGATTGAACAAGGACTAACGAAACCTTACCGATCGATAATTCGATCCGACATTTAGCTTAAAAATTATTCTTTCCATTTCCCAATTGTTTTAGTAAATTTATTATCATTGCTATTTCATAAAAAGAGCAACGCTTTCAAATGATAAAGTGGCGAAACAGCAAACCTAAGTAAATCGAAATTGTCGATTCATCAATTGGACTTGACATTAGATTACAAATTAAATTATAAATTTTTATCTTCTTATCATTTCCAATCTTTATATGAAATGAAAAAGATTAAAAGATGGAACGAAGGATTGCTCATCTTTTGCTTACTAAATCTAATAGTTCTTAGTCTTGAAGAACTATTAAAATTCCAGAGTAATGCACCAATAATTAAAATTATTATGTTTACTGGACATCTTATCAACATGATCACCATTCTCCTCTCCTTTTTTTCAACAATCGTTTCGTACTGAAAAGTTTAGGGTGGAGTAACTAACGGGATAAGAGAAAGATCTAAAATCAGTATGGATGACCTGAAGTGATAATACCTTCACTGTCTGCAAGTGAATTCTTTCATCAAAAACTAATTCATGCGTTTCAGCGTTTTCCCCATTTTGCTTAGCAGAAGCAATGTGACATACCAATGTTCTCTCCTTCCGTTTTGCTCTTGAATTACCAGCGGAAAAAGTCAAATCCTGAAAATTCGGAGAAAAAATTGCAACTGAAGATTTCAAGACCAATCATACAGAAATAGAAGAAAAATGATGAAATTGAAGGAGAAAAAAAAAGAAATTCGAAGTGAAATAATAAAATAGGATTAATTGCGGATAATAACGGTTTTCTGAGTTATTTTAAAATTGTTATATGTAAGGAAGACAGAATTGATATGTTTAGCTTATCCTGTAGTAATACTGCCAGTAATGCAAGAAATTCCTTTCATTTTCATCATTTGAACCATTCGTTCATTCACCAAAAAAAGCACGAAAAAGAAAAACAAGCAAATAAACAAACAAACAAGTTCAATGTTACCAAGCAATCCGAAGAACTGCTCGCTCGGTCACAATCACTTTTTTAACTTTTTTCCATTAACAATTGAATTGTTACACTAAAATTAAAACAATGTATCAAATCAACGATCAATTTGTTAAGTCAATTAAAATATCATTTAAACCTAATTTAAATTCGGACATTTTCTTTCAAAAAAAAGAATGCATTTAAATGATGGCGGATTATGCCCTGGCAAGCTATCACAGTTTGTTAAAATGACAGTTCACAGTTCAAAAATAAGCACTAAAAATTTGCAAATATTTTCATGTTTACAACAAATAAAACATCATATATGTAAATTAACAATAACAATAATAATAATAATGATAATAATAATAATAAAAAGGAAGAATTTCAGAAAGACGACGCAACAATTTTAAAACGTTATCCATTTGGAGAACACTGCGTATGTTTTCTTTTTCCCTCATTATGAGATGGCTTTTCATCATCAAACCAAATCAATCACTGAATGAGTTTATTCAGCTATTACTTTCTGGAAGACATCATCCGCTGCATCAACATATTCGCCATATATTACATTGCAATGGGTTGGAAAAGTGTCAATTACAAAATCAGAAAGAAAATTAGCCTTTACTCGAACTTCAAAGATCTGTTTAGATAAGAAGTTAATCAAAAGAAATTCCCACCATTTAATATTCCCTGAAGCTACCTTTCATACATTGAGAAGGGGGATAACAAACAATCTTCCTGAAGCAATTACAATCTTTAATGGCATCGTGAAGCAGTTTCCTCATAAGTAGAAAAACAGTGGAACACAGCAGTGATTTTTTTTTGCCAAGTTTTAAATAATTGACAACGTCAAAAATGGAATGAATGGAAGTAAATCCTTTATATAAAGTACTAATATAATCAATTTATGTCAATTTAAAGGGTTATTACCCTTTAAAGGACCCCAGTATCACCCTTTCGAGCTTCTACATTCTGTTCTGTTACATTACTCGAACCATTCGTTGATTTCGGCGATGCACAAGGAAATGTAGATGATTCGTATGTCTCTTCTGAGGAATCAGCTGCAGCAGACATAAAGGACGGTAGCTTGGTGAGCTTTGCCAGTACCACCGGATCACCTAATTTCTGCTTTTCTGACTCCACGTATCGTAATGAACTAGAAAAAAAATTTCCTTTTCATTACTGCTGCTGACTGTAAACTTCAAAGGTCCTTTAGTGAGGATCATAACTTGCGACCATAAAGTGTCATAAATCATTGTTTAGGTCAAACAACATATCGATTTACTAAATCTTTAATTAAAATATGTATTATTTCTTCAGATCTAGAATTATCACCTATTACCTACATTATTTCTCACGAAGAACTAAGAACTATCTATTTCAAACAAATAGTTCGAGAAATAGTGCTAACCCTCGCATTCCATCTAATGTTTCATTGGTTTGAATTAGTTGTTGTCTGGTGCTAGCCAAGCCATGCTTCAGTGCTTCTTGCAGTGTCACCATCTGACTCGATCCACTATTACTAGTTTTTCGCGATTTTTCTTTCTCATCCAAAGCTCCGATATGGTTTGCCAGTTGTCGATTGGACAGTGGCGATGAAATAGGTCCATTACCAATGGGTTGTTGTTGCTGCGCAAATGTAGGTACCTCTTCCTCAATATCCTGTGAAAGCCTCTGAAACCCTCCAGTTGGTGTACTATTCTTCTTCAGTGATTCCTTCTAAAATCACTCTTTATCATCCAAATAATTATATTATGTGAAATTTTCAAAGTGGCTAACCAGCAAGCCAGCTACTTCAACTCGGGTCATAAACTCCGTTACAAATACAGAATGAAATCTAATAAGGGAATTAGTTTTTGAAGTTGAAAGAAAAATTGAATGTTAGGTGCGAACAAACAATGAATTGTCAATGATCCACTCGCTACTCTCAATTGGGTGAAGTGATTGATATATTAAGATTAGTATTAATCATTACTTTATGCAACTGTGGTTTGCTTGTAATCACTGCTTCCATCCGTCTTGGTGGATACATGGCTGTTGCTAAATGTAATGAAGCAGGTTCCAACTGAACTGTCTCGCTGGAAAACAACGACCTTCGCTTTGTTGCATTTATTTTAAATGGTATTTCCGCTTCTCCCCTAAATTTATCACTATTATCACATGTTTGATTTAAAAAAATGTAAGAAATTTCAAAAAATTATAAATAGCGATGTAAATAATCAGGCTATGTGAAAAAACTGTATAATTGCTACGAAATATTTACAAAGAGTGAAAAACTTACGCATCTGATGGTTCCTTATATCGTTCCTCCGTAAGAGATGTCCCTGGTTCTGCTAAAGATGTTTGAAATCGATCAGATTTTTTCCTTTTATTATCGATATTTTCATCTTTTGATATTCCTTTCTGTTTTCTGCAATAATTTTATTAAGCGCTATTGTATCGGGATGGCACATCTGGCTGTTCGGGAGATGGCTTCTTATCTTAAAGATTGTGGACTACCCAAACAAGAACAAAAATTACTATTATATAAGAAGAGCGAAACAAATATAGTACTAACTTATTTGGTTTAAATAAACAATCTATTAATTTTGTTATAATAACTGTACTTTAATTAAAAGATACATTGTATGATATTTCACTTCTGTTATATTTGGCGCAATAAAGTTATTTCAATGACGTTGATCAAAACCGAACCCAGAAACCTTTCTTGACATGGTTTGGCTTTCATCGATACTTTCCGCAATTGTATTACTAGCTGTTTCCACATCTTTCCGTCTTGTTTCCCAAAGTCTTGGATTGAATGACATTCGTTTGAACAAAGCTCCATCTTTCACTGTTCTTGACCGCTCCTTCATACGTCGAGAAGACGATGAAGGATTTTGCTGCTCTTCATCATCCTGGAAAAAATAACCACAGTCAACGGATAAATCTGGTTGTTTCTGTGACCAAACACATGTTCGGACAGAGATTTTGATAAATGTCATGATCGAGGACTTCAAGATCTGATTATAAGATAATTAGGATGTTAGAAAACTACATTACAAATTACAAATATAGCCATAATTATTACCGAGTTAAAAATCCACTGATTCTTGTCCTACGATTTGTCGTAAAATTAAAAATTTTACCATCCAAGAAAACAATTATTCATTAACCTTGCTTACTTCAGGATTTTGATTCCGTGCTGGATATGCCAGATAGTTGGGAATATAGCTGTCAGAGGACGGTGATTGAGCAGAGAAAAATGACGACAAATTTGGCATTACCTGAAGAGAATGATGAATTGAACTTAAAGTTGTGGATAAGGCTGAAATTTACCAATTTACAGGAGTCGAAACATCTCAAACATTCGAATCTGTGCTTTCAAATAGAATTTTATCTGACGCAAGCAATCCCACAATCCCTCTTATCTCGAGTGAGTGATGCTATATAGCAGGAAATCTCTTTATTCTGTCTGTCACATAGTATATCAATAAAGATACCAATTCAATCACTATTAAAAATTTATTTACCTGTGGATTGGACATTAATACATCTAGATGCGGTTCGGGCAGAGGTGGTAATCGTTGTTGTTGACTTATTGGAAACGGTGCTTTCTCATATTGGTCCGAGGAACTATAATCTGTTGTGTCCTGAAAATTTATAAAAAATATCTATTTTTCATCAAAAAATTTCTATATGGAAGGAATGAAATCACTGGAACAAGAAATGACACTAACGATGTGTCCAGTGATTCAAAGTTAAGAAGTCTGCGATTGTAGCAAATGTGAATTCAGCAAAGGAACACGATCGACTGTGAAATTCATCAAACAGACCAAATCATCCAAATGAAAATTAAATCAACCGCGGAATTCGTTTAAACTTTAACTTCGTTCAAACGAATTCCATGAGACACATGAAATCAACAAAACCTATGATTGACAAAGATCCGACCGTCAAAATGCTGACAATGTCCAACAGACTGATCATAGTGGATGAAAGAACATGTCTAAAGTGTAATAAATATTACACTGCAACTGAACAACTAAAATTCTGCCTGCTCCGGTGGTGCATTTATTTTGTTGAAAACTTAGATTAGAATACCTCCGCTCCACTTTCTGGTTCAGTTCGGGCTCCCAAATCGTCTGTCAAACGCGCATTTTTTGTTGAAGTGCTCTTCGATTGAACTCCCTGAGGTGGCAACGAGCCAGCACGTATATCCGCTAACGATTGCAACTGAAAAAGACGTTAGTGATCTAATTTTTAAATCACAGAAAAATCAAATTTAAAAATCTTCAATTAATGAATATTAAAATTGACTTAAATTGGGTCTGAAATCTCGATTGAACAATATGTTAAATTCCAATGGTAAGAAATGAAACGCCATTGCAACCTGATACGGCTTTAAAGGGTCAACTGGAGGTGGGCCGGGAACTTTCGCTTCATTCTTAAACTGTTCGTGCAATGAAGTAGTTAGCTCTGATGTTGGTCTTGATCTTGCAGCTTTAGCTGGTGACGTTGCAATTTCTGGCTGTCCCTTTGATGTTGACTGAAATGTGAACATGAATTAAATAGAACTAAATTCGAAAAAGATTCAATTAGTTAAAATTCCACCAATTCACATAAATGGAAACCAAATTACTAAAAAAAATATATAAACAAAAGGATAAAATGCTTCATCATGTTCTTTTTTCTTTTCTTTCATAAGTAAAAAGGGAAAGAAAAAACTTGTATGTACCGGCTGATTGATTTGTTCTTGAATTTCCTCGGCAAGTCTCGTTTCGAGTGACTGAAGCCTTAGAACGAGCGCTTGCACTTGCTCTAACAATTCACGATTCGCATTCAACAGCTGATGTGTGCGAGACTGAAATAATGATACATATATATATATATATATATATGTATATATCCAAGGAAAAGAAACAACTATGAAAGTAGTAAGAAGAACAAATCGTATCGTTCGTCGAGAATATTACTTTCACTCAAATCTTTCCAAAGCATTTTCGATTCAAAACACGCCATTACCGAGGAAGTATAAATCAGCAAACAAGTAGCTTCATTATCAAAAAAATTTTTTTGCAGTAGTAAAACTGTGATACGCATGCATGCATACGCATTCATAAGTATAATTCAAATGCAGTATTGCCTAAAGTTCAATTCCAGTGGGAAGCCAATTAAACAATCTACTGCCTTACTTCCTAATTAGTCAGATGAATTGGTGGGGAACTAAACTGATTAAAGCTTAAAGGAGTAAGGGAAGTTTTTTCGAAAAGGACATTTTACTTTGAGGATATGATTCGACAAAATACCAGTAGAAAAAAGCACAAAAGCCGGCTAGTGTTATGCTAAAAGAAAAAATTGCTAACATTACTAGGTCATACTTTGGCGATTGGTGAAAACAGACGACCACTTTGGACAGATAAGAAATTTCATGTAGCTAATTAAATCGAAACAGTAAAACAATGGTAGCAGATTTGAACTTCTCTTGAATCACTTCCGCTAAAATATAAAAGAAAAATAATACAAACTTGTGCTTCTATTCGAGCAGTTGTCTCACTTGTCAACTGATCTCTTAATAGCTGCACCTGACAGCTTGCCACTTGGGCGGTTTGTTGAGCTTGATCCAATTGCGAACGTATCAAATGTTGATTGTACTGCAAAATTTATCAATGAGTAATTTTAGACATAAAATAGAAGCCACTAGCATATTTGCACAATAATTTAATATAATTTTATTTGCATACAAATCAAAGTGGAAAATTTTTGCATTCTTGGAAGTATCTTGAGCAATGTGACACAGAGTTGCAAATTTCTGTTTATCTCCACCTCAAATTTGGGTAATTTAAACCAATTAAATAAAAAATATAGACATCACATAGTCGCAAATTAACGCGTAAAGGTGAACTCCAAAACACTACCACAAGATAAAATCAAAAGACCGCAGAAGGCAAAAAGTGAAGAATGTTATGCCACTGTGTGAACGATGTATGCATATACCTTTCGCAGATGTGGTTCAACGATTGCTTGAATTGGCGCATTGTCAACGCACATTGATCTAGCGCTCTTTGTTAACGTACTTTGCAAAAGTAAACACAAATACAATTCTATGCATAGTGATAGCACCCTACGTGTACGTTAAAAAATATGGATGATTTTCAAATCTTAATCATGATCCAACTTGGTGTATGCAAATTAGTACATCACGACGCAGTCACTTATGAACTCCTACATTTTTTTTTTCCCACAGTACTTCTTTGCGTTTATTCGCGACACAAATAATCTGATACGATGCCACCAGAAAGGTTAGATTACTTGGGAAACAATCCAAGAATACCGGGTAAAAAAAGGTATAATTGATTTGATTTCGAATAAATAACATTTTAGCATTTAAAAAATTGATCGTTACATTTTAATTTTCTCTTTTTGAATATTCACAATTCGGTAATTGGAAAATCACTCGGAAAACACACCTGATCTAAGGATAAACTGAGCTGATAGGCGGTGAGATCTTGTCCTTCAAGAGGACTTCCAGGAATGTTCGGGTTGGTAGTAGAAGCTTGCTGTTCGGAGGTATTCCCCGGAAACGGCAGAGTTGCATAAGGTGATAATAAATATGGTGAACTAAGTCCATATGGCATCGATGCTGATGGACCCATCACCGGTATCTAAAAGACAATTAATTAATTACTTTACAAATAAGATGCAGAAAAGAATGTTTTTGAAATATAAAGATCATAATCTATGATTTTTTATTGACTGTGTCAGTAGAAGACGAGTGCAGACTATAATTTAGACTTGACACTAATCCAGTCTTGATATCAATACCAAGTTATTTATTTTAGAAGATGAATCATACAATGCAAGTACGGGAAAAAAAGATAAAACGATAAAAGATAAAAAGTTAAACAATAAATTTCTTGTGAGTATGGGAAACAGAACAAACAGGATAATAAGGCATAGTCGGCAAACTACGTTGGTCGAGTGTTTGCATTGACTGGAATTGACCAGCGGCCATCTGTGGTCCCCATGTTATTGAATGCGGTAAAGTTGAGGAGCCGGATACGAAAGGCAATGAGTCACTGCAATGAACAAACAGTTCAATTGAATAAAATTAACAAAAGTCGATGGATGAAATATTTTCAGGAATACAGGAAATAGCAAATGAAGACGCAAAAAGTCATCGGAGACAATTTATCCTAGGCCTTATTCTGCTTCTACTTCAAGTTTAACAATTAATCCCTCTACAGAGGGGAGAAAGATTTTAAGAACAGTAAGCACAGAAACAAATCAACCTGGTACTTGTAGCAACTGCTGGATTATTTGCGGGAGATGAAGCGGACTGTTGTACTGGATTCGTTTGAGTGGGTGAGAATTTTTGTGGCTCGCTGGAAGTGCTTGCTTGGGCACAATCTTTGGCTGCAGTGGTAGTGGCCACGGCTGTTGCTTCCAATGTAGCTGATAGATTTAAGATTGCATCGGAAGATTTTCGCAGCCCAAACTGAAATTCATATATTCAATACTCAAATTATTCAATACATTATTTTCACAAATACTATATTACTATGGTCATGCGGTATTGTTTACCTCATATATTAAGTGATAAGCGCAATGACCAAAATGCCTTTACTCATAACGCTTAACTGTCAATATTTGCATATATGACAGTAATAAGTAACAGAAATACTATGGAATGATGCTTTTGCAGGTAAGCAGGTGTGGCAGGTGTCGTAGCCGGTGGTGGATCATCAGCTGGTGACAGACTAGGTGAAGCTTCGCTTACTTTTGCTAACTTTTCCTCCATTTCAGCATGATCACCTTCGGTGCTTGTGAGTGAATCTGCAATTGATACTATACTGCTTCACTGAATCAACAACATTAATTCCTTTCACTTGATAACAAAAATTTGTAAGCATTTCAAGGAAACTTCAAATAATTTCTTGCTTTTGTGCTAAGAATGATTTTTCATAAAAGTTTATTTTGTTACTGCTTATGCTTAGAACTATTATGATCCAGTTTCATTGTCAATTCAATCCCTAAATCATATTTGTGACTGCTAATATTTCCAAATTTCTACATTTAGCATTTAGTAAATCAAGTAAATTTGAAATAACAATAAGCTAATAAACTAATTCTGTATATACTTAGTATATCTTTTGTTGCTTCTTACGCTTCTAAAGATAGCTTTAGAGAATTCCATAATACAATCGAAGCTTTCTATAACATTATTTAGGGGAATCTCCCGGAAATTCTTATAATAAAGTTATAAAATGGAACAAAAAAATCAAAGCTTCAAGGAATTCATTACAAAAGAAAAAAGTTTCTTGTATCTCGAAGAAATTTTGTCGTATCAAAAGGAAATTTATCAAAAAAGGTTTGTATTTTCATGTATCTCAAAATAACGTTGAATTTAATAAAGTATTCTAAAACGAAATGATAAATTATATGAGGAAAACGAAGGGAAGCAAAAAAAAAAAAGAAAAAGTGAAAATGTCCAGTGGAAAGTTAGTGGAAACGTGCAGAAAGCAAATGTTAAGTTCAGATGATTGCTATGAAAGATATTCATTCCGGCGGATAAAATCTGTTAGAAAGCTGAATACATTAAATATATCCGTTTTAACTGTCAGCTATTTTTATTCAGAACAATGAACCTTCAGGAAAAAGAACGAGATTAATTACTGAAGAACAAAATTAATTACTGATGCCCCGTTGACAAAATATATGTATTGAGCGGATCTTCGGATTCTCATTCTTTTTCAAAAGTATCGCTATGTCAACGATCTTTTTTATGCATTTATATGATGAAGTATTCCAAAACTTGAATTTTCTTCAATGATTTCATACATATTTGATTCATTATCTTCTGATGCACACTACAATGATAGAATGTTTAAACCAAATGAACTGCACTGAAATCTCAAAATAATTTCTGATTCCTCACTTACCGGATAATTTATCCCTTCTATCATTGATGTAAAACAATCTTTGACACTTTCGCCTTGTTCGTGGAAAAATATGCCGTGATTTAGTATCTCTTGCATTAACACCGTAATCGCCCCTTTCCTTCGCATTTTCGGTTGAAAATATAGACAACATTCTGGGAGAATGCTGTGGATGATGGTCCCTCCAATCTTTTTGTTTTTTGAAGGAGCCAGACTTCTGTACAACGATATTTTAAATCGAGTTTCGTCTTTTTTTTTACAGAAAATTCTTGGATGAAAAAATTTTTCATTTACTTCATCCAGCAATTCAGATTTCTGATTTTAAAGAGAAATTAAAACTATAGAGATACTTTTAAGAGTGGTAATTTGCTTGTTCTACACACTTGTCTCCGTACAGAAATATCATACGTAAGAATTCTATGCTGTCAAACAAAAAACAATGATAATGTAAAAAATATGAAATGACCATACTGATATAAACATATAAAGCATTCCGTTTGAGATCGATGTTGATAAGGAAGAGGAGATTTCTGGATTGAATCTAACCGTCACGGTTGGACTGAGAATAGTTTTTCTTCAAATAAGATAGTAAAAAGATGGGAAGCATAGATTTGAAAGATTACAAGTTATTGACGACAGCGCTTTTCCAAACTGATCCTTGAAACTGACAGATGAAATTTTCTTTGAGCAGAGCTAAGGCAACATTAAGTTGAAATTTGATAAGGCATTTTTGATGTGTATCATTTACCTCCCTCTTCCGACATATTAAACATATCAGATTAACAAGAAGGGTAGTTATTTCGTTAAAAGTAAATGAGCGCCTGTAAAAAATCAAGAAGAATGCGCATATGTCGCATATGAAACTGATTATTATTTTCAACTTACGGGAATTGTCCTGCCCCGACTGGCGTAAGTTGAAAGCAAGCAAATAGTATTTCGATCAATTCGCAAGACGTTTTGTGTAAATTAGAAAGAAATTAGTAGGAAAAAAATCAAACATAGGAGTTTTTCAAAGCTGAACAATATGTACTACCATTCCAGGAGATGTTCATTGTGATTCTTTTGTTT